TATTTGTCAATTATTGAACAATTCGAAAAAGATAGAATTCATCAAGGGCACTTGGGTTTTCCTTCCTCGGTCGTCCAATTGTTGTAGCACGGGCACTCCTCCTTGTGTCCGTACGTGCCGGAGGGCACGCACAAGCACTTGGCGCAACACTTGTTGCAGAAGAACAGGCACGGCTTCTGGTGGGACGTCGCCGAGCATCGGTAGTTGCACGCGGCGGCGCATTCTGCAATGTACCCCCAAACTCGAGTATTTAGATTATATATTCTCGAAAAGAAACGACTAAACACATGCAAATACACGTATATATCGGTTGAAATTCTCTCTCGGATGACATGAGTACGTACGGTTCGGTTGAAGCGATCCTTCTCCGCCAGCCTGAAAATCGACCAAAACACACGTCAGCAAACATGCAAAAAGGGCTCAAATGGCACGATCCCTCCATCGTCCCGGGACGAAAGGGGCGATCCCGTGGGTCTCGGCCCGCGAACGAAACTCACCAGCGAAACTTCAACGAAGCACATCGACACGACGAGAAAGAAGAGCAAAGAGGACCGGAGCAACAGCAAACGGGCCATGGTAAACGCCCTTCTCCTACGACTATCTTAATCTCGATAGAACTGTAAAGAGGCTTGAATTACGCACCCTTTGCCTCCGAACGATGGGGCTCCTCTTATATACGAGTATGCTCGGCACTTGCCATCTTTCGACAAGGAGATACGTGGCCATCTGATTCTGCAGGGACCAACTGGGAAATTGCTGATTTATTTCCATAAGTAGAGGACCGGACTGATGCTCTCAATTCAAGAGAGTGTGAAATTGGTAAGTTTGAACGATTGTGCACATGATATAAACGCGAGGTGTTTCACATTGAAGAAAAAAAAGGAAAGAACAGATTTAAATCTAGCTAAGTTGCTTTCGTTTCAACTTCCCATACATTACATATCATCCTCCAAATCTTATTCTTTCAGCATTTTTATTTGGTTAATACCACAAAAAACCCAAAACTGGTACACATCCGACGAATTTACCCCATACCAATTCTTTGACCACCAAAAACCCCAAACCGGTGCACCCATGACAAATTTACCCTCCGTCAGTTTCCGTTAAATTTTACTATCAAATTACTGAGTTGAATGACACGTGACAGTTGACGGGTATACCAGTTTAGGATTTTACCCACTGTTTATCACATATTTACCAATTTATGATTTTTCGTGGTATTAATTCAATTTAACGGAGGGTAAATTTATCACAAGTGTACTGGTTTAAGATTTTTGATAGTCAAAAAAGTAGTTTGAGATAAATTTGTCATAGGTGTATCAGTTTGGGATTTTTCGTGGTATTGACCTTTTTTTTTATTAATGCCACCAAAAATTCCAAATTTATGTTTATAGTTACATATTTACCCAATCTTTTTTTATATTACTTGAGATCTTAGATTTGTACCCGTGTGTTGACACCCAAAATTACCCCTGGTGGGAGTGGGCCGTTCACAAGTTACAGAAGATATAAAGTACGGCCCACATGGCGAAAATCCGAAAAAAGGCCACAAGTCAGGCCCAGAGGCATTAAGAAGACCTAAGGTAATTATCAACAGGACACGTCATAGAGGTGTCGACAAGTTCAAAATCACGAGCCTTACACGTGACATCGACGAGTTTAAGATCACCAGCCTTGCACGTGACGTCGACGAATCCAAAATCACGAGCTTTGCACGTGACGTCGACGAATCCAAGACCACGAGCTTTGCACGAGATGTCGACGAATCCAAGATCACGAGCCTTGCACGTGACGTCGACGAATCCAAGATCACGAGCTTTGCGCGGAATCATGGTACTACGTGGCGGAAAATTCATTTACACGTGTCAAAAGGTAAAGATATGACCGTGGGCGTGAAGATTAAGGAAGAAATAAAGAGACACGTGGAAGAAAATTAGCTACTACGTGATGCCCAAGGAGCATAAGCAACATCGATAAGTCAGGAAGCAGTTAAAACGCGAAACGTAAGGAAGTGGAAAACGACTTTCAAGGAGAAGTGCGGTTAACAGTTATCAAGCTGGTCTATAAATACTCAAGGATTTCCAACGAAGAAAAAACCTTTCGAAAACAACACAACACATCTCTTATTTAACCTTTATCCTTAGCGCATTAGGAGTAGCTTTAGTTGCAACTTTCAGATTCTTTGTCGTAGATTCAATTCCGACGAAGGTCTTTATCAGGTTGAGCATTGTTGATTAAATTCCAATGTTGTGCCACAAGTTCAGCGTCGTTGATTAAATTCCGGCGTTGTGCTTAGAATATAGCTGTTGATTAGATTCCAGCCATATTCTCTCAAGTTACGTCATTGATTAAATTCTGGCGTACTTTGAATGTATTGTCGAATTTGACATCATATCAAGTCAGGGTGTAAGATCTATTGGGATTAATAAACGCATTTGACATTCTCTGTCCAAGCTTGACTCAAGATCCTGGTCTCCTCTAATAAAATCCGAAACGCAGCGTTCGGTGAAAGATTTTCGACGGAATAAAAACCGGCGAAACACCGTGTGACACATATATTCCCGATCCCGATTCCGTTCAAAGCCGCCGTTAAAAATCATACGTGGATAGTGGAAGACAAACAAAAGATAACGTGACGATCACGTGGTTTTGGTAAGAAAAAAAATGGATAGCCGAAACAAGGTCGCTTTGAAGCTTGAAGTGCGGGCTGAAGAGGAGGTTGATTTTCGTCGGTATTTTAAACCTCGAACGAGTCGTTTGTCCCTCTCTTGCGGAAGGTCGATTTGTCCAAATTTTTGCCCCAAATCGACCTCGTCACCGTGGCTCTCGTCTCGAAGCTCGTCGTTGAAGGTTGTGGTACTGGTGCTGGTGGATTACAGGCAAAGTACAGATTTCCAAAGAGAGTTCTTTTGATTTTAAAAGAGATCGATGAAAAAAAAAGGCTAATTCCAAAAAGAAAATACTAACTTTATTTTAAGTGACAATTCTGGTTCGAACTTTTTTCGTCTCCATAAAAAATACTAATTTTCGCTCTAGTCCCAAATCTGGATCCCATGATGTCAAATTTTTAAATTGTTCAGGCCAAATTCGGGATTTAAGTGAAAGTTGAAGATTTTTTTACGAAATAAAAAAAATATTTAGGCTAGAATTATCACTCAAAGTAAAGTTATGCCTTTTTTGGAAGTAGGCCAAAAAAAAATAGCAACTTTTTTTACTATTCTTTCTCAGGATAGTCTAGAGATTAGTCTAGAGATGAAAGCTAAAAGGGAGAGGCTTGGAGAGGCAAGAGAGGTTGGTCATGTAATCACTCGTCTGAGGTAAAGGATGAGGCCAGACAAATAAATTCCAATCAATTTTTTTTAATTTAATTCAAGACGCGCGTCAATTTTTAAGTGGATACAGAAGAAAAATAGACACTACATTAATAGCTAACGTCGTGGTAACAAATCATTGAATAGTTTCTCGTGGGGAGGCCTTATTGAATGATGAGAAAATATCGACCACGAGAAAATATTGCATAGACCGACCCCTCCATGTGACCATCGAGCAGGGCATTTAGCAATTAACATGTGGCACAGGTGGGTTTCACGGACAAAACCTCTCTCCCTCTTTCTCTCTCTCTCTCCACTGTTCATCTTCCCCATCCGCATTTTAGAATAGGGAAAATAACACAAATGATCCGTGAACTTTGGCTCAATGTGCAATGTGGTCCTTAAACTTTTCATTTGCTTAATGTGATCTCTGAACTTTAGCCCAATGTGTAATATCGTCCCTAAACTTTTAATTTGTTCAATGTGATCCATGAACTTTTGGTATATGTTCAATTTAGTCCTTAGACTATATGAAAATGTCCAATGTTATCACCAAATTTAAACTAATGGAAAGACAACATTGATCATTTTCATATAGTTAGGGACTACGTCGAATATATATCAAAGTTTAGGGACCACATTGACTATATTGCACATTGGGCCAAAATTCAGAGATCATTCGTGTAATTATCCCTTTAGAATACTCTACACAGCTTAATTGTCCAACAGAAACTAAATTTATGCACAAAATGGACTCACATTTCCAATGAGCATCAATCACAGAATCAAGCCCTACCAAACAACTCGTACCAAAATCAAATGCCGTAGCACGTAAAAGGATTACCGGTAATCAGAAAAGCGCAATGCGAGCTCGAGACCAACCGGAAAAGAACGCAATGCGTGTAGTAATTTGATCTACCTCGCCTCTGCTTGACTTTTGATGAGAAGAAGAAGAAGAGAAACAAACTCAAGAATTGATGACATGCTGAGTGAAGCACTGGGCGGCGGAGAGGGAGCAGAGCTTCGAGGAGCGGCGGAGGCCGGAGAATTGAGAGGCGAGGGAAGTGGAAACCACCGCCGTGGCCGAAGTGAAGGGTTCGAGGGTTTAAGCTTCGGATGTGTCGGATTTAGCTCGGGCTTTCTCGTTGGGGAAGATGAACGGTGGAGAGAGAAAGAGGGAGAGAGGCACGTCCATGGGACCCACCCACTCCATGTGTCGATTGCTGAACAGTCGGATCCGATCGTGACATGGAGTGACCGGCCTATGCAATATAGCCTCGTATAAAAAAAAATACATAACACTCGGTATTAGTTTATTCTATGATTAAGTTTATGTGATTATAATTCTCATTTCCCATCCGGTAGATGTGATAAGATATTTATGGTGCGTTCGTTTCGTGGAAAATGAGCATTTTGAAAAACATTATCCAAAAAATGATTGCTTATATTGTTTAGAAAAATTAGTCAACGAAAAATATTGTCATCATCAATAACAATCCATGCGTAACTATTTTTATGGGCGATGAAAAAACTTTCCATTCGTTTATTTTATAAGCGATCATTTTTCGGATAATATTTTTCAAATTACTCACTTTTCGCGAAACGAACGCACCCTTTGGTCAATATGATTTTACTTAAGACTTTGAAGACTCACGTGAATTTTTCGTGCATAATTATTGGCCCGGAGCGAAGGGAAAGAACACGAGAACATCTCATTTTTTTTCGATTACATTTTTCCCGATATAGAAAAGGAAAAATATTTGTCAATTATTGAACAATTCGAAAAAGATAGAATTCATCAAGGGCACTTGGGTTTTCCTTCCTCGGTCGTCCAATTGTTGTAGCACGGGCACTCCTCCTTGTGTCCGTACGTGCCGGAGGGCACGCACAAGCACTTGGCGCAACACTTGTTGCAGAAGAACAGGCACGGCTTCCGGTGGGACGTCGCCGAGCATCGGTAGTCGCACGCGGCGGCGCATTCTGCAATGTACCCCCAAACGCGAGTATTTAGATTATATATTCTCAAAAAGAAACGACTAAACACATGCAAATACACGTATATATCTGTTGAAATTCTCTCTCGGATGACATGAGTACGTACGGTTCGGTTGAAGCGATCCTTCTCCGCCAGCCTGAAAATCGACCAAAACACACGTCAGCAAACATGCAAAAAGGGCTCAAATGGCATGATCCCTCCGTCGTCCCGGGACGAAAGGGGTGATCCCGTGGGTCTCGGCCCGCGAACGAAACTCACCAGCGAAACTTCAACGAAGCACATTGACACGACGAGAAAGAAGAGCAAAGAGGACAGGAGCAACGACAAACGAGCCATGGTAAACGCCCTTCTCCTACGACTATCTTAATCTCGATAGAACTGTAAAGAGGCTTGAATTACACACCCTTTGCCTCCGAACGATGGGGCTCCTCTTATATACGAGTATGCTCGGCACTTGCCATCTTTCGACAAGGAGTTACGTGGCCCATCTGATTCTGCAGGGACCAACTGGGAAATTGCTGATTTATTTCCATAAGTAGAGGACCGGACTGATGCTCTCAATTCGAGAGCGTGTGAAATTGGTAGATTTGATTAATTGTACACATGATGTAAACGTTAGCTGTTTCCCATAAAAGAAAATAAGGGAAAGAACAGAGTTAAATCTATAGCTAAGTTGCTTTCGTTGTCACTCGATTATTAATTGGCCCTTTCACTTCCCACATAGTACATATCGTCCTCCAGATATTATTGTCTCGGCATTTATATTTGGTTAATACTATAAAAAAATCTCAAACTAGTATACCCGTGACAAATTTATCGCAAATGAATTTTTTGACTACCAAAAATTCCGAATCAGTATACCCGTGACAAATTTACCCTCCTTCAATTTTCGTTAAATTTTACCATCAAATTGCTGAGTTGGATGATACGTGAGAGTTGACTGGTATATCAGTTTAGGGTTTTACCCCTCTGTTTGTCACATATTTACCAATTTATGATTTTTCGTAGTATTAATCCAATTTAACGGAGGGTAAATTTGTCACAAGTGTACCGTTTTGGGATTTTTTGTGGTCAAAAAATTAATTTTGGATAAATTTATCAGTTTTGGATTTTTCGTGGTATTAACCTTTTTTTTTTGTTAATACCACCGAAAATCCCAAATTATGTTTACTGTTACATATTTACCCAAAAAAATTTTATATTACTTGAGATTTTAGACTTGTACCCGCGTGACACATATATTTCCGGTTCTGGTTCCGTTCAAAACTGCCGTTAAAATATCCTACTTGGATAGCGGAAGACAAACGGAGAGAGCGTGACGGTCACGTGGTTTTGGTAAGTTAAAAAACAAGGATAGCTGTAACAAGGTCGTTTTGAAGCCGGAAGTGCAGGCAGAAGAGGAGGTTGATTTTCGTCAGTATTTTAAACCTCGAACGACTAGTTTGTCCCTCTCTTTGTTGAAGGTCGATTTGTCCCAAATTTTGCCCCGAATCAACCTTGTCACCGTGGCTCTCATCTCGAAGGTTGCCGTCGAAGGTCGTGGTACTGGTGCCGGTGGATTTCATAGGCCGTAGGCCATGGTGCCAGCGGGCATCATCGGCTGAGATTGAAGATGAGGTGCGCAAATTGAAACTTGAAGAACCGGTATGTTCGACTGCCACGTCAGCATTTTGCCTTAGAGTCGGATGTAAGGACTAACGTTGCACAAATTGAAAAATAAAAAGATTCAAGGACCCGATCGAAAGTCCCAAAAAGACTAGAAGTTTAGGGGTCCCCGTGTCGTCGTCCCTCCGATTTGTTACCAAATAATTTTAGATTGCACGCATATTTGATTCTTTCGGAAGTCATCCTTTCATTATCAAACATTGTTTTTTTTCCATCACAACTTAACTTAGGCATCACCAATTGGGTTGCTAATGGCAGCCATTAGGATAAAAAGAAGAAGGAAATAATGACACAAATAGTCCATGAAACTTTGATCAAATGTGTAACGTTGCCAATGAACTTTTAATTCATTTAATATAATGAACTTTTGATACATGTTTAAATGAGTTCATGGACTAAATGAAAATATTCAATGTTGAAGTTCAAAGACTACATCGAACATTCTCATATAGTCCAGAGACTAATTTGAACATGTACCAAAAGTTCACAGACCACACTATAGTGTGGTCTGTGAACTTTTGATACATGTTTAAATGAGTCCATGGACTAAATGAAAATATTCAATGTTGAAGTTCAAAGACTACATCGAACATTCTCATATAGTCCAGAGACTAATTTGAACATGTACCAAAAGTTCACAAACCACACTAGGGGTGATTGGTTTTAGGGTGGGTATGTCCCAATACCTGTTATAACCGGTTCTCAATTTTTGGAACCTGAAATCTGTTTTGAAACCTAGTCTATTTTTCCGGTCCTATTTTAGGGTCTACCCGAGTACCTGTTTTTTTTTTTTTGTTCCTTTTTCTGGTTTCATTTTTTCTAGCAAAATAATATGAGTAGCAATGGAACAATTCAAAACAAAAGATGAATAATAATAATCACTATCTGCTAAAAGCAACAATCCCTACGTGAGCAATTGAAATTACTATCCGCAAAACACAACAATCCAAAATATAGTTATAGTATATTTTCAACACTGGTCCAAATCCGATCCAATTCTTGGGTGGGTCTTCACTTGGAACTGGTTCCCAGTTCCCAAAAAATGGAACCGGTACTCAGACCGGTTTCGGGTGGTCCGGTCCGGCTTGACGTAAACCCGGTCTAGTTGTATATCCCTAAACCACACTCAACAGATAAGAAAATTATGGATCCTCATATTATACATCGAGTAAAAAAAAAAAGAAAAAAAGCAAAATTATACGCCGCAAAACAAGGAACAGCCCCGAGTCTTCCCTTCCCTTCCCGCCCATAAGACTCGCTCTCCGCCGTGCCAGCCATTTCCCTCTTCTTCCTTCCTCTTCTCTCTCTCTCTTTCCCTCTGCAACATCCCGCGCACGACCGCAGAAAACCCCTCCCGATTCAGAGGAAAGAGAGGAACGAGCGCACGACGCGAAGAGCTCGAGCGATCAGCAAATCCGCCGGAAAACTCTCGAACGGTACGTCCCTCGTCGATTCCTCGACGTGAATTTGTCCGTTCGTATTCCGTCCCAATCTCTTGCCGGCGGCGACGGTGTGAGGTCCTTTTGGATGTTTCGCGGATTCAAGCAGCTCCGGTCGCCGCCGCAGGGCTCGCATGGAGGTTGGTTCGCGCGCTTGGATCGGACGGACATCTTTGAATGCTCAATTAACGATTTCTTTCACATTTCGATCTCGATCGTTTCGAGGCGCTAGCGAGGATTGGAATCGCGGCGTTTTCGTTGTTTTCTCTCCTTCATTTTGGTGACGTTTCCGAAATCTGTTCCCGACGTGAAGGATAGAAGGTTTTCGCGGGAAAAAAAGAACGGCAATGCGAGGCTCGGCAGAGGGAACCGAAGGGTTTCTGAACGTTTGAAGCACGATTTCGTCGGAGTGGTTAAGTGACGAGGCGTTTCTCGTTATCTCTGCTTCGATGTTGCTTTCGCGAACGTGTTTTCCCCGAGAAAATCCTCCATTCTTCCGCTTCCGGAGAGTCTTCTGATCAAAACTAAGGGTTATATTACTGGTTAAGAATCGTTGGCGTCTGTATTAGTCGGTTTTGTTGTGAAGTTGCGATCGTGAAATGCGTGCGTCATAATGCGTGGTTTGCCCTTTCAGGTGATCGCCAAATGTCATTGATCGACGGCTCATTGAACCGTCGAAATTCTATAAGAGGCAAGGAAGAAGGCAGCGGCGGCGGCGGCATCCTCGGAAGTGGACGGCGTGACCTGGCTGGATTGACACTAGACGACGTTCTAGGCACCGACAAGAAACTGGGTCCATCGCCCACGGTGGCTCAGATCACCCGGACTCTCCTCGACGTAATCCGCGACGATCCTGACGGAGGCTCTTTCCAGGACCTCCTTGGCCAGAAGGACAAGCAGAGCTGGAGATCTTTCAAGGAAAGGCTACGACGCAGGCGTGAAAGCCAGGCTTGGACCTCAACCGGTCACACTCCTACATCAGACATACCGATTACTAGTTCGAGGTCACAGATGTCAAGGCAAGGTTTAACTAGGTTCCACTCTACGAAGATTGTGGAAAACTCGGATGACGAGCCAACTCGGGAGATTCACTGTGAATCCCCGAGAGCAGGGGAGATGCACGGCAGTGATCATGAAGCGATTTACGATTATTCGAGCCAGAGTTGCTCTCGGTCGATGATGATGCGCCGGACCTCTAGTCGATTCGGCTTGTTGGGCCCGGCAGTTCCACCAGACTCGACTGAGCCGGAGGATCTGGCAGGTAACGTGCAGGTTAAGGCTCTCCGGCCACAGATCTCGCGCCACAATTCCACGAGGCTCGGGTCATCACCCTGGTCAAGGTCCGAGTCGGCTCGACTCCTGACTCGGTCCGAGAGCTCAATGGTCAGGAGAGAGGACACCAACGGTGAAGACAATGCAGCAATTTACGGGGACGAATTGGGTCGCCGATCGCGGCGAGTTTCTGTGGTGGCACTGCAGGAGGATAGGCAGCTGTCCGCGAGAGAGGCCGCAGCCTCCCAGGAGGCGGCGGAGGCAGCCGCCGCCGCCGTATTAGACAGAGAGGATGAAGGCAGTGACAGGGAGGAGACGGAGAATTTTGAAGCTGCACAGCCGAAGAGGATGTCACTGATGGACTTGCTGGAGGAGACAGACAGGGAGATGGGGTTCGTGGGATCGAGGTATGTGGTGGGTGATGAGGAAGATGAAGAAGAGGAGGAGGAGGTGGTGGTGGAAGAGGAGGAGGATGGAGAGGAAGGTGGAGAGTACAGTTGCTGCGTGTGCATGGTGAGGCACAAGGGGTCTGCATTCATACCCTGTGGGCACACATTTTGCAGGATGTGCTCAAGAGAGCTCATGGTTGCCCGGGGGAACTGCCCTCTCTGCAACAAGTTCATCCTGGAGATTCTCGACATCTTCTAAGTATAAAGTGAAGAGCTTTGTGGTTATTGGTCAGTTTGGCCAATTGCCATTCCATAAAAGATTGAAAAGGATGATCATTTTTGCGTTACTTGAGAATAAGCGGTCATTTTCTGCCTCTCTCACACGCTGTCTCTTGTCCTTATTTAATCTTCTGCTTTTGGATTACAGGAACTAAACAGGTAAATGTCATGGAAGTCTGTGAGCCTATCAAGTTTTGTTTGTGTTGGTAACTAGCAGACTAGGATCGAATCTGATTCCAGTGAGGAGGGATTTATTTGACATAAGTTCTTAGATAATGCTATGTATGCTATTGGATTGCGAAATTAATATATATATAGTGACTGTAATGAACTCTTTATTGAACCTCGAACATGACCCACATGTTTAAAATTTTAAATGCACACTAACAACTTTGCCACATTGATTAGTTTAAGAATTTCGTAGATAACTTTTTGTATAATGTGCATTACTCGGGTCGTAGTGTTTAATGGCTCTACCGTTGCCCAGTTCACTTTAGTGGTATAAACGGGTCGATACAATTCAATACTCTGAACTTGACTCACCCTAGAATGGTTGAGGCTTGATAGTTGACTCAAGCTCAACTCAAATAATATTATGCGGCTCGGCCTCCAACTCGATTAAATTTGTAAAGCTTCCGCTCAACAACTCTATCTATCGTCTATAAGTTTTTACGCAAAGCGTGAATTGAACTGGAACTCGATCTCGTGCTCGAATTTGAATAAATACTCTAGTAAAAAGTACATAATTTTATGTATTTATATAGCTGTATATATAACTAAAGATATAAAATATAATCACACAATTATAGGCTCAAAAGCTGCTCGAGTCTAACATTTTCCAAGCTTAAACTCAAATTCGATGGAGTACTCGAACAACTCGAACTTGTGTTAAGACAAGGCAGGTCCTTTGTCCCAGAAGGCGCGAAGAAAAAGGAAGATCCTTTGCTTGCGCAACCAACAGACATCAACCACCCGGCAAAGAATCCACGAGACCATAACACATTGCAAAAGGGAGAGAGTCTTTCAATCGAAGTCTAGAATTCCCAAGGATTAGACTAGAATTCGTAAAGAATCTGGGAATGGCGCTTCTTCCCATTGCTAAATAGCTTCACGATCAGGGCATTCTCTCCAGTTTCTTCGGCCAACCCCATATTTATAATAGGCTTTGCAGGTTCAGGGAGCCCCTACACAGCTCTGTGTCTTCAACTTTGCTGTTGCAGTATTCAAGAGTCAAAGAGAAATGTAAATTTCTTGTTCCTTGTTCTTTGGTTTGTGTCCCGATTCAGGAATGCTTCTTATTAATTTGTTGAACCGCAAGTATGATGCCCCAAGGAGTGGCGTTTCTGTTTGTCTGCTAAGGTGCCAAAAGATGAACAGAAGTCTACTTTTAGGAAAAAGGGTTAGAGTTAATTTCAGTTTCATTCTTTTGTTGTTGTTTAGGTCAGTATTTTAAGAAGGAATACTGTTAAGATATTGACCGGTTGGTAATGCGAACAAAACTTCGTGCCTCAGGAGACGTAAGGCTCCAGTCTCGTTCTGCTCTCAATTTATTGGGTCAGCTCGAGATAAAGTAAATCCCTTCAAGTCCCCTATCCGTGGCGTGCATGGTATGCCTCTAATTGGACTATGGAGGTGGAATTAGTATGATACGCAAAAACTGATCTGAAAGCACAAGTCAGTGTGAAACTCAGAAAACGGAAAAAGCCATTTTCTTAATAGTTGATTGGAGTATGCAGATTGTTCTAGCTTATGTACTAGTGAATGAAGTAGCTTCATGGGGTATAAATCGTTTAGTTTCATTTTTCGCTTGAATGATGTCCGTAATGTTCAAGATTGTGGCGAAGTTGAGAAATGATTCCACCAACTAAACAGACTAGATGGAAGGTGATCTCTAGGTACTGGGTTTTGTGGATGTGTTCTTTACATTACGAGTCTCCTTTTTTTTAGTGTAGCAATGGCTGTTCCAGTAGTAAACCGGAAACTGCTCGAGGAACTTGAAGCTATGGGATTCAATCCGGAGCAAGCAACTAGGGCACTTCATTTTTCAGGTGATTCTGCGCATACCGTGGATGCAAATGTGAAGTCTTGCGAGCTTTTAGTTGAATGTTTCATAGAATGTACATATTAAGATTGAAGGAAAGTAATTCCCTGAATCTGCGCAGTTGGTTGAGGCGTTAGGATATTTCCAGCTCAAGAACTAGAGATCACCTGTTCAAGTCCCACAAAGTGTGTAAATTGCTTTTGGGACCACAAAGGTCTAAATTTAACCGGTTCCCGGGGCTGCAGGGTGTTTCATGGCCTTCCAGACAGTGGAGCATCTGCACTCATGCCCCTGGATTTTCAAAGAAAGAAGTTTTTATAGAAATTATTAAGCCAATAATTGAAGGAAGGAGATTACATATATATGAGGCCATTATAAACCCTTTTTTAACAGTTTTTTGTTACATTCTTTTCAGGTAATTCCAGCACTGAGGCTGCTATAGATTGGATTGTCGACCATCAAAATGACCCAGATCTCGATCAGATGCCAAGGGTACTGTTCTCTGTTGAAGCATAATAACAGATATGGAGCCATATTATCTCACTTTCGGTGCTTCACATGGTGAAAAGCAACATGAGAATTTTGACCAGAGAGCCATGTTGTTGTTTACTTTTGTCTTCTCTTTGAGAGTAAAAAACCCGAGGTTTCGTTGGAAGAGAACTTCTTTACCTACTTCATCATTGTTAACCAAGAAGATAGGGCGTACATGTAGGTGACTACATGAATTGCAATCAACGTGTTTTGTTGTCGTGTGCATAGTGGATTTTGATCATTTTTACCTTGCTTCTGGAGCGGTTTTCTGAAGTCAAGGGGGTGTCAACTTTGGCTGATGTTCAATGTACTACGGAGTTCTCAACTGATTTTCCGCTTTAAAGTATGTGTTAGATATCGTAGTGCGCTGCTTATGGAGAGGCCCTTACGTGCCAAGATTAAAGCTAACTGCAAACTTTAATGAGGCCGTCTTGAGTTTTTATCTATCTAATGTTTATGCAACATTTTGTTTTTTGAAATTTAGGTATCAATCGACCTTGACATTGAAGCTCTCGAACCAAGTTTTGTGACTGAAGAAATGACAAGGAGAGCACAAGAATTACGGTACGATTTAAGGCCTCGACCATTTTACTTTCTACAGTTCAAAGTTCCAAATTTTCCTCTCCATTTGTAAATCTATTTTCTTTTCTGTCCTCTGGCCCACTGATGAAGTAATTCTTGCTTAAATCTCCAATTTTCCTTTTTCCCTGATGATGGGGTTTTTCTTTCTTTCAGGGATCGAGCAGAGGAGAAGAAGAAGGAAAAGAAGAACTCTCAACGAGAAATGGAAAAGGTACTGCAACACGAGTTTGGCTTGATTGTAATTACAAATGGCGACAACTTGATGACACTGAAGACACACATATGCAAGAGTTGTCTTTTAGGAGATATGATTGGCTGCGATTAATTGTCTTCTGATTCTATCCTGATCAAGTGGAGAATATTTTCATGCCCACAAAAGAGATACGGAAATTTTATCACCTTCTTTGCTCACTCACATTATGAAATGACGAGTTTGACACCAAGTCATTTGACATCCATATTATTCTGGCTAACGTGTGTAAAAATATAAGAGGTAGAGCTTCACTCTTCCAAAAAATTAAACCTTTCCAGACAAATGTATTTTTGGCTACTATATGGAGGCTTCCTGCCTCCATCTTTTTGAACTATTAGCTCTATTGTAATGCTGGGGAATGCCCCTAGCTACTGTTCTTCATCTGCTTTATAATACTTACATTTTACACCCAAAAAAAAAATAACGAGTTTGACATCCTTTGTTGGTATAATGATAGCTCAAATTAATTAAGTTCTCTAAAGAGCTTTAAGGCTAAGTTGGGAAAGTAAGGAAAATGTGAGGAATGAAAATTTGGATGGAAAGTTGAGAAGAAGTAAATTTTTTTGTGAGAAGATTGTGGAGGGAAAATTTCATATTTGTGGCATTTTCAACCCATTTTCTCTTTCCCTAGATTTCCCAAACATAGCCTAAAGGTTAGCTCACTGGTAACGTTCATGGCCAGGGTGCATAATTATGCTTGCATCCCTTAAAATTGGTACGTTACGTTATATGCTTCTCTGTGAGATGATTTAGTAGTCCTTAGTCTTGGAACTTAGAGGAAATGACACTTCTCTTTTTTAGGAGCTGATCGGTGGCAAGTCTGCTTTGATGTTCATGGCAAATTACATTAGTTACATCAGGTTTTACTATGACAGTTCAATCTGCATTTTTTTATCGCAGTTGAAACTTTGTTGCAGGAAAGGATTCGAGCAGGTAAGGAACTTCTTGAAGCAAAAGGAATAGCGGAAGAAAATGAAAGAAAGCGGTTTGATCCACTCATCATGACAAGTTATACTCCTTTTAGCCTAAGTCAATCTCGTTTTCAAGCAATGTGTTTGACACTGTTGTTTCAGTTATTTGGCGGCGAAAAAAGCAGAAAAAGACGAAGAGCGAAGAGCTAGGGAGAGAATTCTTCAGAAACTGCAGTATGATAAGGTACTTGTCTCATTGCCTTTAAGGCTTCAACTTGTTTACTCTTGGAATGTCAATGAACAATTTGATTGAAATGTTTCCCAGACATATTCTAGATCAAAATGCATTCTTCCGAAAGGTCATAGAGGACTACTGATTTTCTCTATCATTTCTTGCATCTAGAGCCATTTTCCTTAATCACATTTATGTCTATGCAAAAAACATGGGAGAGTTCGTCAGGTAAAATACATTTCAATCAGGGGTTCAGTTATAAACTGATGACCTTTTCATACATAGACAACGAGTCTGTGTTGAGGAACTGGAGAACATGTAGGAGGCATCTAATGTGGAATTCGATGCTGCAACTTTTACAGAGATTGCCCTAATCACTCGCTTTGTTAGTGGCTCTATGCGTGTGTGGATTTGATCCAATGATGACCGAGACGTGTCGTGACTTTGTCTTTACAAGGGAGGGATTAATTCCTACATCTTACCAGATATCAAGGCTTTAATTTGCATTTCTATACAGTTAGAAAGAAGGCGGAAGCTGGGATTGCTGTCAGAAACCCCCGCTGCTTTAAAACCTTCGCTGCCTCTAGTAGACAATAGAAGGGTATGTACTCTTTCTGGCAAATTGATGGGTAAATGCACTTTACTTAGCATATGAACTGTAACACTACGCCAACTACATTTCCAGAAGCAGTGAGCCTGCACAGGGCCATACACCCCCCCCCCCCCCCAAAAAAAAAAAAACAAAATAAATCCATGTCAGATCATTTTTTGTGTACTATGATTGGTCTTGTCAACTGCATTGTACGTAGAACGAGTCTCAACATTTTCCCAAGAATGCATAAGTTGAGCTGATACCTATTTCTCTCTTGGTAATATGCAGACTTCAGGTGTTTATTCTGTTACCAAGGCTGATCAGATCAGAGAGTGTTTGAGGTCTTTGAAGCGCAATCATAAGGTAGTTTCATCTGTCAGTCATGAACACTGGTGATAAGAAGATCCCATACTCTTTAAACATTCACCATTTACCACAGGTTGCAGACAAAATCATATTAAATTACATTAAGGAAGCTTTTCATATCATCCTTCTATCATGCTGATTAGTGACGACATTTGTTCAATCTGAAAATAGATTTTACCTTGTCATTAAAAACCGCATGGTTATATCAGAAAATCGAGAGCCCATCTTTTTTATTGGATTATGATGCCTTCCAGTAATGAAAGTACTCACAAAATCGAACAAATTAGGTTAGAGCGATTTCCCATTGGAATACTCATATCAAAGAATTGGTGATATACATTTTGGTGTTAAGCACTTCATGGGTCATTGGGTTGCAGTATTTTCAAATCAAGGAAAATTAGCTTGATTGAGAGCGAGCTCAATTTTGCTTCTTTAGGTACATAGATCGTCTGAGGAACCTAGTGCTGCTTTTTTTTTTGTTCAAGTTCATCCTCTCTTTGCTTTTGTACTTCATGCATATCTGATATCCCCACTTCCTTAATGGATTGTCGAGTGATTGATTTTATTCATGTAAATGCTATTCCCAGTATTCTATACGCTGAGACAACTCCAAAAATTTCATCTATTGATCCTGGAAAAGATAGCCCCAACTCTTTCTTTTTTTCAACTTTCTTAATTAGTCTCTGGGCGGTTTTCTAGGATGAAGATGCCAGAGTTAAAAGGGCCTTTCAAACGCTCCTGATATATGTGGGCAACGTTGTGAAGAACCCTGATAATGAAAAGTTCAGGAGGATCCGCCTAAGTAATCCCGCGTTCCTGGTAACATCTCTTGAAAATTATTTACTTATTAGTTCTAGGATTTGGGTAACGATGCTTCATTTTTAGATGGAATATGGTTCGAGCCATGTTTCCAATTTTTCATTGGTTGATAATAGGTATTTATTATCTTGTCCTGAATATTGAACAGAGTAGAGTAGGGCGTCTTAAGGGAGGCGTCGAGTTTCTCGAGCTTTGTGGATTCGAGAAAATCGATGGTGGCGAGTTCTTGTTTCTTCCACGTGACAAGGTCGACTTGGCAGTGCTTAATCTAGCCGGGACTCAGTTGAAGTCAGCATTAACCAATCCCTTCTTTGGACTTCTTGAGAAGTGATGAACTTATTGGGATTAAATTTGTTGGCTGGAGAAGCTATCTTGTATATGTGAAGATTCTATTAACAGATTGAAAAGGCTAGGCCTTTGTCCAAGTAATTCTTCGCTAGGAGTTTACATTATTCTAACCTCCCCTCTTTGCTATCTCCTACTCAAGTCCAGTATACCCTTTTTCTTTGCACATATGAACTTGAAATTAGAAACGGTTATATGATTATGCTCTTGGTCTCTTGGAAGCTGATATTTGATCATTGCAAGGCATAACCTATCCAACCGTGGCCGGAAGTTGAACATGCAAAGACAAAGGCAGAACGGGAATAAACGGTTCTGCTTATTTTAATATATCGATTATTCTTAATGTGATATGCACGGCACAACTGATTACTGAAATATTCAAAACTTTTAAAAGTAGAAGATTCAATCAATATTAGAATTAGAGGGAGGGTGCTTTCAGCAGCCAACAGCGGGACTCGACGCCCGCAACAATCAATGGCGGGAGCACCACAGTGGCAACAACCGTGACTTTAACGTAATTATGCGGCACCTGGAAAAGGAAAACCAGAAATATATGCAGAATCCTATTAAGTTCATAAGTCATGGCAATCTCGACGAGAAATATGATCATGGCTTGATTCAATGCAGATAGAATGTGGTCCAAGTGGGATTCAATCATGGTGTCATGGTGTGCCTGAGAGCCAAAGCAAACGGTCGCCAAGACATTTCAAAAGTCAATTCAGTGTATATTCTTCTACTTATCTCCTGGAATGTGATCCAATCAAACAAAGATGAAAAAACAGGAGTCCCAATATATAGCTCAACATTAAGAACTCAACCAACAGAAAGCAAATTTGATATTTTTCTGATAACGGGTACCGAAATACGGTCTTTTAAATCTGTTCTTGCAGTTAGATTGTCATCAGTCCCGTTCATGTTCTCGTGTCATGCACAGATAGACACCACCCAGCCCGGCGAAGGACTGACCCAAGATGGCTGTCTCACCTCGGCAGACTGGAAATTACGTGCTTGGTTTCTTCAACACCACAGGCTCCGACAGTGGGTATCTTTGAATGTAGTTGTCCTGACAATCCAAAATATGTTTGGCTTGCTAATGGAAGCATTTTCATGCTGACCAGGCGCAGGAAATCTCACAATGTACTTGGATGGCGTGTTGAGGATTATGAAAGGCAGTGAAGGAAGCTCGATTCGACAAATCTGGACCGGGCGTTGCCGAGTTCTTCAGCCACTTAACAGAATTCTGGCAACTTTGGGATCACAGAGTTGAACTCTGATGGCACTGTTGAGTGCCGAAGCTTGACTCTCATGCCACAAGTTGAGAAAGACACAAAACTCGCGTAAAAAACACACAGAACTTCTCACATACGCACACTTACGAGCCAAGTACACCTTCACAAACTCACTTATGGGAGCCAAGCTCAGTTGCTTAAATGAGAGCTTGGCTATTTAAAGGCTTAGCGGGGAGGTGCTCTACCTCCTAGATATTTGTAGAAAGAATATCTTCATAGATATTTCTAGGAAAATACCTAAATATACAAAGTACCTTCTTAAATTTTCTAGTTATTTAGAGAGAGCACTAAATGTCGTCAATCTATTAATCACGCATTTCTACACTCTTCATTAAATATCTTATAAGAAAAATATCTAACTATTTTCATGGTAAATATAAAGAATCTAGAATTATTGGAGAGGAGAGGTGGTGCATCTTTTTCTGCAACACTCCCCATCACTGACTGTGGATCAAGCCACTATGTTAGGTTGCTTCCTCGAACTCTTCTACAAGAAAAAAATATCTAGATATTTTTTACGGTGAGGCGGTGCATCTTTCTCTTCAACACACCCCCTCACCGACTATGGATCAAGCCACCATGATAAGTTTGCTTCTTGGAACTCCTCAAATATCTTATCACATTCTTTCTTTATCCGCTTCACCTGCTTCTAGAGCTAGCCGCAGATCTGCGAGATAAAGCCTTGATTCAACACCATCTGCTCGAACTTTAGCTGCCTCCGTGGCTACGACTTTCAATGGGTCTTGAGAAGCTCAAATTTCAACGACGCCGGTTCGACCGGTTTTGTCATGTCGGTCCGACATCATCAAGCCTAGATTTGGGTGGTCGCCTACCCTAGATCCAGGTCTCGAGGAGAGAGACAAGGAGACAAATCGTGGGCCGGGCAATGGGCGATGATGCCTCGCATGACGGCAAGAGGACCCGAGTTGACGATGATGGTAGCGGAAACTGAAGATGCAGGAGGGAGAGAGAATGAAGGATTATGGTTCGATTAACAAATGAATCTAAAGAATTTATCCCCTAATTCGTTAATCAAGGACAAACAAGTGCAAGGCGTCCTCGTTTAGCTCTTAAAAGTTCATCTTCATCATCTTCTTCTTCTTTATCATCAACCTCTTATGTCCAAGTCTTCATTACCTTTCTCATCTTTATCATCACCCCATCGTCGATCATCAGCCTCCTCTTCTTCTTTAAACGTAATCCTCCGCAAAATGAAAAAGAAAAATAAAAAAACTGATTTCCAATGAACAAAAAATTAAGTCCGACATGGAATTTTTAAGTTTTTTTAATAAAAAATGACACTCAAGCGATCGCTTTAAAATTTTCAGTACTAAAATAAGTATTGTACGAATACTGTGGCACTCTTAATATCATTTCCCCAAATTAAAATAAATGGTGACATAAACATGTACATGATTATATTTCATACTTTTTTTTACATTGAAGGTGCCGGTATTTTCTTATCTAATTAGGAGATTAAAAAAAATAAAACTACCTAAATTAATAGCACAAGTAAATTTTAAGGTAGGGCAAATATTTAATCCATCCTACAACATGCGCACACGTCTAGCAGCATGGCCTAAGGTATTGGGAAAAATAAATCCCATAGTACCTTTTTTCAATTTAATTTCTTTCTTTTTCGACCAAAAAAAATTAATTTCCTTTTTTTTCTGCTAATTAGAAAAGCCCCATAATGATAAAAAAAAATAAGAAATAATAATAATCCATCGCTTACGCTAAAAAACCAAAATCCCAACTCTCTCTCTTGCCTCGTCGGATTAGAAAGGCAAAATCAAAAGACCAAAACCATAATCGCTCCGACGTCATAAAATCTCGCGAGCATTTCCCGTCTTCCTCGTACTCCCCCCCTCCTCTTCTTCGAGCTCCGGTGGAAGCGAACCGCCGTCCGGCCTAGGGTTAGGGTTAGGGTTCGGTGCCGTCGCATCGAGTCCCCGGTAGCTTGCTCGGCGGAGGATAATGTACGCCGATCGGGTGGAGGCTGAGGGCAAGAGGCCCGCCAAGGATCGGCTCAACGGCGGCTCCTACGCCGACTCGTCCCGGCGGCGTCAGATCACCGGCAAAAGGTTCCTCCATCCCGTGCACCCTCCTATGTTTTGTGCTCGGCGGGCCGGCTTGTCTTCCTGCGCTTGTCCCGTTTGTGTAGCGAAATCCTTGAGAAATAGTGTCGCTGCCTGCGATCTTGTAAATTTTCTCGGGCGGTGTCCATGATTGCTGTTGTAGTTGATAGATGCTGGGCAGAACCGATACTTTGTGTTGCTCATTTGATGACTGTAACTGCGCCGGATTCGTGCGCGGATGCGATTTCGGCTCTCTAAATTTTTTGCTCATTAGTTAATGTGCTGTGAAAATCCAGTTGATTATCGAATGCTTCCAAAGAAGAAAAAAATGCATATGAAGATGGATATGCCATTTTGTCTATAGTTGTTAATACAAAGGATAGGGCCTGTACATGATTAGCTGGGGAAATAATGGGAATTAGTTGAGCTTAGGAATCGAATCTACTAGCATTGTTTTCTAGCTGTTCCTTAGTTTATAGTGGCAGAGCCTCAGCTTCGAAAAAGTGATTGATCAAGAGTGGCTGAGCTCAATCGGAGAAAGAGAAAAGGGCTTTATCAGCTTCGAGCTATAAGTGCTAGAGTAGTCAGGATTGCACTTCTATTAGCCTGGGATATTATTTCATTTGTGCAGAGCTCAAGAATGGACAGTTAAAATGACATGATCATGAGTGACATGATCATGAGGTCTTTTTCTCTTGCTTCACATGGTTGAAGCCATCTTTGCTATGACATTCGTTTTCTTATCATATGGATGGCTATAGTTTTGGGAACAATATACGTATATCACTTGATAAAGTGCAAATGCTGTTACATGGTGGTGGCCCCCTGGTGCCCTTTTGCAATAAGAGTTCTTGTACCTATTCAAATAAGAAAAGACACAAATTGGTTCGGAATTTTCATTTTGTCGAACTGCTAAAGGAGCATATTGCCCATATATGAATGCTTCTGGCTTTTCATTTCTCTAGTTATAGGCATTTGTAAGTTGATTTTTGAGAGTAGTAATTTTGTGGTATGGACTTCTGAGCACAATCATAGTTGCTTGGGGTACTCTTTTGACTGTTTGTTTTTGCCTGGTTCAAATGTCTTAATTTATTGGAAGGAACATCTGCGGATTGAATTGCTACCTTGTTTCTGCAGGCAGAGGCAAGACGATAAATGGGAACATGATCTTTATGACAATGATGAACGTCAGATTTCAAGTATGGTAGAAGATCATATCAATCTGGAAAATGTCTTTCTTCTATTGTTCTATTAAAAAATGGTCCTCTTATGATTTTGACTTTGTGGTACTCGCATGTGAAGATCGCAGGGTCGAGGGCCGTGATCTGCGTTTGAAGCTCCAGAAGAAGGGTCTACAGCCGGCATCTCAAGGTGCAAAGGGGACTTTTTCCGGTGTGCGAGATCTTCGCGAAAAGCTTTCTGGTGTAATAAGTTCCCAACCGGCAAGTAATAACACAGCCAAACCAAAGTTGGCACCAGAGGCACCTAAACCTGCCAGGAGAAGTGTTGTAGTTGAAGCTTCTATGCCAGAGACCAAAAGAGTTGTTAATCCAGCTCCGAACAAGAAACAGAGGGTATCTTTTATATTTTCTTGTAGTATCTCATGCTTTGTATATTAAATGGGCTGTAAGGAGCAACCACCTTGCCTTATGTGTCAAGTCAAGTGAATCTGATTATCACGCCGCATGATCATAAAATTGGGGGGACTGTGCATATTCTTATATTCTTAGAATGTTGACATGAAATTGCAGAGACGATGCTACATACAGGATCATTGTTACTTTTCTGGTGTATTTTTTTGGTCTGATTTTGATTTGGGCTGAGTTAGACATGATTATTATTTGTATTAGTATTGGATGGACCATTTCTCTTTCTCGTTGTTGTCATTATCAGGAAGATGGAGATTCAGTTTTCTTGACATGTAATTGATTGTAATGGTGATTTAGAAATTAGGGAAGGATTGTTGTAGTTTATATGCTTTCTTGTTTAAGTTTCAGTTACATGGAGATTTTTCTTTTTTCTGATTGCAGGTTGGCGTGGATGGTTTCTTGCGGTCTTTGGGTCTTGAAAAATATTCAATTACATTTCAAGCTGAGGAAGTATGTTAATACCGTGTCTATAGCATGAATGCTAGAGATTCTATTTTGTTATTTACTATTGATCTTAAATTTGGCATTCTGCTATATGAGAGTTCTATCTGCTTCTTCAGGTGGATATGACGGCTCTTTTACATATGAGTGATGAGGATCTCAAAGCTTTGGGAATTCCAATGGTACGTAACAATTGGAGCCTCAATTTTATTTTATTTTTGGTGTGGGATTGGAGTCTTAGTTGACTAGTGATAATTGTGGTGGCATTATTGTCTGACTTGTATTAGCATCTCTTTGATTGACTTTCAAAATCCCCTTCCGTTAGCTTTGGTATTTCCTGAATGTAGGACTGAATGGCGAATTGAAGTCTCTCTTCTTAGGTAGAGTGAAAAAGTTTGTTTCCTCGAGGAATTTAAATGTTTTTACCTTTCATTTTTAGCAGGACCAAAATCACAACATTTCATAATCTCTAGCAAATAAGGTAGCTAAGGAATTTGAAGTCCTTGAGTAGGAGATTTTTCTCTACTTTGAACTTGATGAGTGTAGATGTCACTCCTCTTCTAAACTCTTTCAAAGAGCCTCTCTCAGGTCCATTGGCAGCATCGAGTTCATCTTTTCTAACTGGAGACTTTAATCGCTTGTAAATCGTTAGACGTATTTCTGAATCTTTTGCACTTGGCGTTGATGCATTTGAATGATCTGTCAAGAGCATTGTTGATTTGCACTTAAGTGTTATTCCATAAGAGTATTTGGCTGGTTCTTTAAAAGAGAAAAGCCATTTCTCTAATAATTTTATAACAAATGTTTTTTTGTTGAATTTTAGTTTGTTGGGATAGAATGTTCATTAGCTAAGCATGTGTAAATTAATAGCTATATTTGATCTTCTTCAGATTTGAGCTGGTCCATGGTGCTTCCTTCTATATTCCCTTGTAGATGCATTCTGAGATAAAGACCAGTATTTCTTACCTGATTTAAATTAGCCGAATGAAACTTATAAGTTAATACAACCAAAAATCCCAAATTGGTACACCTGTGTCGAATTTACCCCAAACCGGTGCACCCGTATCATATTTACCCCAAACTTATTTTTATGTCACAAGAAATCCCAAACCGGTATATTCGTGTCATATTTGCCTCAAATTGATGCACCTATGCCACATTTACTCCCACTTGATCTACCACAATTTGGGGTAAATGTGGCATGGTTATATCAATTTTAGATTTTTCGTGACACAAAAATTAGTTTGAGTTAAATGTGGCATTAGCCCTATAAGAAAAGGTCTATGCTTCTGATTTCTCTCCTTTATAAGTTCTCAGTAAAGGCTCTATCTTATTTCTACCTTTGTTTTTGTTTTCTCGCTGTAGTGATCCTAACCGGGAACTACTTTTGTTAGTGTATCATGTAACTCATCCTATGTTATTATTAATTGGGACCTACTTCTGTTAGTGGAAATTGCAATTTTCAGCTTTTATGGATGTAGTTCCTGTCGCTACGTTTCAGTGCTATCCAACTAAATAACATTAAAAGCTCTGAGAATGACATCAGAAAAGCTATTCTTCGAGAGGTCAGATTGACTCAGGTTTTTCCCATATAAATGGTTATTGTGGATTTTTTGGATTATGCACTCTTTGATTGTAGTCTTATGCCCTTTGGTCAGACTTAGTAATTACTTGGAATATTTTCTGCTTCTCTATATATTTCAGTTGGTTTTGGACCTTTTGGTTTTTCAGGGTCCAAGGAAAAAGATACTTTTGGCATTGGAGTCTAAAGATTAGTTCCCTTGGACAAGGTGAGCTATTGTTTCCAGATTCTCATTGGCAATTCCATCTTTGTGATGGTTGGTTTGCCCTTCCGCTGTTGTAATGTAATCTGTAAGGTTTTTAAAATGTTTTCCTTCTCTATATTTCTTTTTTCTATTTTTGGGCTCCGTTTGTTTAGGATCCTTCGCTGAGAGGATAAAGGGGAGATGCATACTTTGTTTGTATTTCGTATTACATATAAAGAACTGGATGGCACTATTAAGTGTTCTGATTTAATGTGGTGTTAATTCATCATTGCAGGTGTAAAGGTTATCCTGCTGCTTTGTACTCGCTATATCTGTTAGCTATTTTATGGTTCGATTGGGAAGGGTGGTTGCAGTCACCGGAGGTTGGAAATGTTGGTCCGCAATTGTGTGGATGGGCGAACATTCTGTTTAAGGGAAAGGTGGAAAACTGGAAACTATCCGACATGGGGGAGGCGTTGGATGTATATTTCGAATGCCGTGGTATTTCAGATTTTATAAGTATGGGGTGATTTAATTTTTTTGTTTAGCAACTAACTGCAGCCCATGAACTGTTTGGGTCCTATCTTTGCTTATTCTTGGACAGGAGATGTAAATCCTTTGTAGCAACTTGGGTCCATCGATGTTCTTTTGCTAAAAGCTGACCTGTTGAACATGTTTTTTTGACTGCTGAGCGGGATTTTACAGTACATATCATACAACTAAGGTTGTATTTAGGCTATTTGAACGTAGGAGAGCATGCAATCATCCTTGGTAATCGAGATCGATGGTAACTTACATTTATTCGATTAGGATGAAAAGACATATAAGTGATGCACCCACGATTGTGAGAATCTCGAAGTGAGTGGCTCGAGTTGATTGCCGAGTATGCAGTTTCTGTTTTTTTTTTTTTTGGCTGAATCTGAATACTCAGTTGTTTGTGCTTCTTGTGACATTTGCAATCCACCGGCACATCTCTTCTCTGAGCAGATTGATTATCGTCTCTCTTTCACTCACTTTGCCACCATCGAAAATCCTACCAGATGAACATTCTTGCCCGCAACGTAAAGGCATGAAGATTGACAGATTGTTACATGAGACTCGTGTTTCAATTTGGAGGATACCGGTGCTTTTATACACTGGCCTTCCTCAACTGGCAAAGTTACTTGGATGGCATAAAGAATTACAAGACAAAGGCACGATAACTTAAACGGCGATATCAATACGATTATGAAGACTTCGTATTTGATATAGAGAGCAGTCTTACTAACAAGCTAAAAATGGAAGGGGTCAAAGACAAGCACAAATGCAGCCATTATCAATTAAACAAATCTCGCACAAGCCCGGCATGAGACTGGCTTCATTTCCTCTGATTAACGTAATTCTTGTATATCAAAGAAGCATTTGAAAGGGTGGTTTGAGGTACAAAACAATTTCCAGTCTCACATTTCAAAAAACACCTCACGTGTAAAGGTAAACTTGAGCTCCAAAGGCCAGTAAAATTAGTCACCGAGGGTCAAAGCCTTCTGTGCCTGTGCTCGTAAAAGTCCTACAAATCTTGGTTTCACCATAATGTTCTCACCTCCGAAGACCTCTGAAGAACTGCCGATTGTTGTAGAAGCTATTTCTTCAAACGAAGTCCCTGAATCCTGATGGTAAAATTTTCAGGATATGCACTGTGCGCTCCAACTGAGGTGATTTCCTAGGTCTGAGAAAATGCCCCGCTAAAATGATGCATCTACTCGGGCTTTTTCCACGTCAAGTACTTTTTATTTTCTTGCCGATATCTCTTCCATTCTCTCAGAGCCGCAAGGACAACATGCAGGGACACCGGGAGGAAGAAAGGCTGCATCACAAGAATGAAAGAAAGAAATTATGTTCAAAGACATCAATTTCAGCAATTTAATATGCTGATGGATTCTTTTCAAGGTGGCTTCGACAAAGACTCTTCTCAAGCCCTGCCCAGACCCCATAATAGTTCGACACATAGTTTGTTGATGTCCAAGCCAGAACTGCATTCTACGAAATTTGGTCCTATGGGAAAACTATGTAGGGCTCTGTTCCAAGAACGTCAGCTTGATGCATTCTCCACTTTAAAACCGCTAGACAATAACAATATGGTGAGGCTATAAAATGTCAGGAAACAGATTTCTGAGATCAGGGTGACCAACCGAGTAGACAGCAAAGCAGTGCTCGAAGGAGTAATAGCTAACAGACATGATAGATGGATGAAAGAAGGCATCCTCGGCTAGAGCTCTTGATTGCCTCGAGGAAACTGCAAGCAGGGAGAGCAAGCAGTAGCATGAGGAATGCAAACAGAAACAACTTACGAGCTACGGATCCTATCTTAAATAATAGAAAGTACCAGCTGCAGCTTCATAAATGCCAAGGGAGGCATCACTCTCAGCTTGTTTTGCAGCTTCAATAGAAAGCTTAACCTGCTCAGAATGATCGGTATGAATTGAGGGATTGAAACAGAAGAAAAATTGGAAACCATTCAAGCATGGAGAGAGAGAGAGAGAGAACCAACAAAGGAAGGAAGCACGAAATTAAAAGAGCGTTAAAAGAAAAGAAGAAAGGATGCAAAAACTCGCTTAGGTTAAAAATTACTTCCCAAGCAAAATCCTTTCAACATTTTTCTGCGGGCGAGTGAATACCGTAACAGATATCTACTGGCAATGGCATACCGAATAATAGCTATTGAAAGAGTTAATCATTTAGGAAAATAATAGCCAACAGATGAATAAAGTCTTTCACGCAAGCCTCTTTCTTGACAACTGACCTGCTTCCCTATCTCATCCATTATGATCATTCGAGGAAGGGATTGAACCTGCATTAACCCTTTTGTCAAGCTTGAAGCAATTATACCGAACATATATTCCAGCTATGACATCCAAACTCAAAGGTTCTAATCAAACTGAGGACAAACCAGTCTGGAGAGAGAGCTAAGGGTTGTAGCACACGACCGTAGATTAAAACAGGCATGCTGCCTAGTCAAGGCATCCAGTTCCCTGCAGAGAAACAATAAATAAGTCCATGAGAGGAATGTATATTGCAGGGATAAATATTGGAACCAATTTATTATTTGTTCTGGCCTCTTAAAAGAATATCCCAGTACTATCCTAAGAACATCTAAAGTAACTTATCCGATAACTGTGTATTTTTCCAAGTTGAGGCATTGTGAATTACATCTCAGGTTAGCTTCTTATAGCACAAGCTTCTTAGTTGGTACAAGAATCTTATTTGAAAGATAAAGAAGGCTAAGACCACAGGTCTACAGCATTCCTCATGACTTTCACTAAATTCGTGACCTGAAGATACATTCATCAGTCTCAACAAATCAAGAGTAAGTCATATGCTTACCATTCTGTGAAGCCTTTCTCACTAGCTAACATGATAGACCTGCCTGATGTTCCGATGAAGAGGTTATCAGATTTTAGACCAACAAGTTGACGTATCTGAGCCACAAAAACTTCAAATATCTTCTGAAGATCCTGTTCCAAGCTAAGTGCACCAAGCATGAGAAAACTCAAGAGAAAGATGTGCATAGAAAACAATTTATTAATCAATATAAACCAGGTATTTATGTGCGCTTCACTGCGTAAAGTATTTCCAAATAAGAGACTCCATTGATATTTAATTATGGGTTACCATATCGCAATAGCATATAAGAAAAATAAGAGCATACACCATCAGGACAATAGTAATTACTCAACAAATAATTCCTAAACATTAATATGTCAATTTTTTCATAGTTGAATTTAAAAAATTTTCAAGTCAATTTAGACGGAAACTTGTTTATTGTCACTAGGCTGATAATTTTGCTAAAAATTGCAAACCTTGGTATTTTCTATTACCATTTTTTAGAAAACAAAATAGCAAATGATAACGGTAAAGAAAATAAATTAATATCGTATTGAGATAAAATATTGCCCTTTTCCTTAAAAGGAACCAATTATATTATGTGCAGTAATCTTTTGTCAAAATAAGAGTTTAAACTATTACATAGTAAACCTTTTTTGAAAAACAAAGTACATAATCTGTCTTATTGTAAACTAACTTTACCAAATTAAGAATAGCAGTAATTTTTTGATCATCAATGTTATTAATATGCATGATATTAAGTTGAAAACATCCGCTTTGTAAAAACAAATCTTAAAAAATAAGACTTTGCTCAAAATCTTAATAGATTTGAACATTCCATACTCTTAACATGAATGTTTAGAAAAAAGAGTTTTCATATATCAACAGAGGTGAACTAATGGTGGAATAATACTTACGAACTGGGACAGACGCTAAGTACAAATAAATTCACCTAGAGCATATATCCAGTGAAGATAGATTAGTCAATTTGACTATCTCATCTAGTAAGAAATTAGATTTAAGGAAACAAGGTTTGCAACTTCACAAAAATAACTCACTTTAATAAAAGAATATATCGAGGAGACAAGTGGGAAGGACAGACAAAAGGAAGAACACCAAACTATCTAAGTGAATATCATAATATGCACTTTGGCAGGCAAAAGCCCAAACTCCCTCTGACCACTCTTACATAAAACCAAGTGGCAATATTTATCATGGTTCCAGGTCAAATTTCTCTGGCGTTACAATTTTTCAATATCTTCATTCCTATAATGTCAACATTTATTCTGGAAAAAGGAGGACACCTTCCTGAACCCTCATTGTGTTAAAATCAAGCTTCATATCTATTAGAATACCAAACAAAAAAAGGTATTATACCTTCACAATAAAACTTTATACCTGAGGAGAAATTTTGTGCCCTGCAGGGTACTTTTCTGGATCCTGCAAACAATTCATACGATTCCAAACAACTACACCTCCCCACATCTGCAAGATTAGTGAACTTAAGACATCAAACAAATCCATGAAACGAACAACATAGGGACAGAAGGTATTAAAAGTTCAAAGGCTTCACAACTGACAGGTGATATATATCCATTGGCCTTGGAGATCTCCCCATTCGGAAGCTGTAAGTTTAGAGGGCACTCCTTTGCAGATGGTATGTATCTACAAGCAAGGAGAAAAAGCTTGACTACCATAACATTTAAAAGGTGCTTCACCAGCTGCATTATCTTCAATGGAGATAGAGGTTAACAAACATACAGCACAAGCTGCAATATCTTTGACCGCCCACCAGCTGCAGTTGAAGTGTCCAGATGCCACTCATTTGAATTGACCTGTTGATTTGCTCAATGAGACTAGCAAAGAATACTCAGAAATAATGCTATCGAGATAGAAGTAAAACTTTTAACTGGAAGATATACGTCTATTGTGATAGTCAGTGTAGTTTTGCAAAAGCATGTTTAAAAACAATGTAGTTCTTCCTTAGAATTTATTGTGTTGTGTCCTCTAGTTTCCTTTTTATTAATAGCTTTGAAGCATCAATTTAGGCATTTGCAGTGCAGTGACACTAAGTCTGCAAATGAAACCAATTCAGTTATGGTACATTCTACATAGCACAACATGCATAGAGATGAACTATTGTAATTATTTTCAAGGCTTGAGAATGAAGAAACTATGAAATGGAAGCTCATTCTTGTTTAGGCAACAGAGCTCTTTAAAGGGAATGTGGAATCTGGGGTTTCTCTACAAGTTGTATCACATATCATCATCGGAGGATAATGAAGAAAATTGCATGA